ACTGATCTATACCGCTACATCCAATCCAAAGCCACATCCGCCATGACACTCTAATCTGCTATTCCCCTAATACAATCTTATCCCTGCAAACGCGCGTCATACCTGATTTGTCAACTTCTTGAAACACCTGCCTCCGTGTATACGCATCTACAACCGCGCACCAGATCATGGGCAGGACATTGAAACTAATCGCAAACTTACAGCTTTCGCTTGCCCACTATTGTGATATCCATGGCCCAACTCCATTGATGGTGACCGAGGGCTTGCCCACCTCATGCAACGTCTGCTATGACGATTTCACAGTCAATGTCGATTCCTCACAACGGCCCACGGCTTCTCAAAACTCAACGGCAATCACCAGGGCACTACATGATCTCGCTATCCACGATGCCCACGCCGCTGGCGTCTCTGGGGTTGAACAGGGGAAACAAGCACAGCATCGCCCTGCCTCCCACCGGACCCTGGGTCTTAAAACAGACAGCAGGGCAACAGCGATGATAGATACGCCTCCAGGAAGCCCACACCAACCCCAGCAACAGTCTCGCCTTGACTCAAGCTTCCGCCGGACATACGACGATACAGTAACGAAAAAGCAAGGACCTTGCGATAACTGCGCAATGACCTTGCCCCGCCGATCTGCGAGTGACCCTGGAAACGTGGATGCCTCGATAAATATGAAAGGACCAACGCTCAGAACGCGAGCTCCTGCTGAGCGGGTCTTTGGCGCGGGCGGCCAGCAATCACCTCCCAACTCTCAATCGTCTAGCGACACAGATGGGGAGCGAGAGGCGTCGCGACGGCCCAGACAGAGAAAGGCGGTTCCATCAAACTCGAGAACTACCTCGTGCTCTAGCAATTCGATGGCGTCAGAAGCAGCACCGTTCCATGTTCACTATGTCAACTATACGTCCACACATGAACCAGTTCTCCCAAACTCCTTCTCACTTCTACGCTCCTCATGCCTACGAACCCTGTCGTTCGAGACATTACCCAGGCCGCCCACGACTGCTGCGCCAGCCACTTCAGTTCAACCTGACGCATCATCGGCTTTCGTGACGACCCAGAGCGCCGGCTCGGCCGCGTCCGGTGGGCCAATCTTTTTCGGAGATGTGCATACTGGATACACAACCGCCTACATTTTTCGAATTCCCGACGTACATGCTCGAGGCCACAAGCGAGTGTACGCGTTCATTGCTCTCAGCACTCATAAGGAGCGCCTCGCCATGAAGACGTTTGCCATCATTTCGGCCGCCTTTCGGGAATTCGCAATCTGGATTCAACAACTAGCAGAAGCCGAGGCTGAACGTACAGCTGAGACCGGCTCCGGCAGTAGTACCTTCTATAGTTCCGGTGCCGGTGGCCTGTCTCAACCAACAGCCTCGGCTTTTGACCCCCCAGCGCCAGGAGACCGCGGTAGCAGCTTCCTTACCGGTGGTGGGGGTTTCACAAGACGAATGGGAGGTGGAGGTAGTGCAGCTGCTCCAAAAGCACGTGGCCTCGCCGACCTGGTGGGACAGCCTGACTTCTTTATCGAATTACACAGGAAATTTGTCCAACTTCTGTTCGAAGTTGGCGTCACGCTAAATGCATAATAGATTGTTATGCACAACACCCGGAAAGGCACAGGAAGGGGCACGGCCAACATAAGGTGTCCCGGAACCGGCCAGACATATTAAGCGATGTTACCTCAACTTCGGAACTCCCTGCATAGCGTTATCATATAAAAGACGAGCTGGTCACGTCTAATTGTTAATGGTAATGTCAGCATGCTTTGGCGAGGAAATATTTCCCTTCTTTGTAACGGTTCTTCAACCTTGATGGAAAGAAGTCTTTGGTTTTGGTTTTTCTTGGAACGATTTAATGAGAGTAATGTCGGCGTTAGGACGGAAAAGGTAATGGGAGATACAATAGACTCGATACACGGAAAGGGCATGGTCGTTCAGGGCACAAAAAGACGGGACGGGATGGAAGATACCCTTGGTGGCGGTTCAACAGGTTCAGCAAGCCAGGCCGGATGGCATGGAGCAACAGCCATGCTGTGCGAATATTGATTATTTGGGCACTTATAGATGATATGCCGGGACTCAAAAATAGATTATGTGTTTTTACTCAACTTAATACATACGAACATGACCAGCTTACAGTGAATAGCGTACGGCACTCATCTTCATCCACACGAGATATGGGACAGAACATGAAACTTGAAGCAGCGCATTTCCTCCTCCTCCTTCCTCTTCTTCATGGGGCAACGGCGTCACAATCCTTTCTTGTTTGATATAGATATGCGTCAACTCATGGAATTTCGTCTATGCAACCCAGCCCCTAATCAATGCACTCTGCTAGGAGAAGAAACATCAGAGCCTATCCCAATTCCGGATCTATCTCATTAATTGTACACATGAGCTCAATTCCTATGATAGTAGGTCCATAATATTATGAGTTCCCTTCTTAATTTGTTCTTTGCTTTATTTGTAGAAGTCAAACTTGTTGTCATCCTGCGTTCCCTTGACTTGGCTGGAGTAGGCGTCCTCGAGGTCAGTCTGGATGATGTTGTAGCGGTTCTTGCGGACGGCGCGAAGACCGGCCTCTTGCATAATGGCGGCGATGATGGCTCCGGACAGTGGGTCGTTGCGGACGATCAAACTGTCGAGGTCTACTTCGGGGGCGAGGCTCATCTTGCTTGCAATGGTGGTGAAGATGAGGCGTCGCTCGCGACGGTCACGTAGGGATGGGAACTCGATCTTTCGATCGAGACGACCGGGACGGAGGAGGGCAGGGTCGAGGGTGTCGGCTCGGTTGGTGGCCATGATGACCTTGACGTTCGCCGTCTGGTCGAAACCGTCCATCTGGTTGAGCAGCTCCAGGAGGATACGCTGAACTTCGCGATCGGCACCGGTCTGGGCATCGAAACGCTTGGTGGCAATAGCATCAATCTCATCGATGAAGATGATGGCCGGGGAGTTCTCGCGGGCCATGCGGAAGACGTCACGAACCATCCGGGGCCCTTCACCCAGGTACTTTTGGACGAACTCGGACCCAACAACACGGATGAAGCTGGCGGTCGTAGAGTTGGCTACGGCCTTGACAAGCATGGTCTTTCCGGTACCGGGAGGGCCGTAGAGCAAGACACCTCGGGGAGGATCGATACCAATTTGCTTGTAGAGGTCAAAGTGGGTGAGTGGCAGTTCGACGGCTTCACGGATTTCCTGCTTCTGCATGTCGAGACCACCAACGTCGGCGTATGTGACATCGGGCTTCTCATCAGCGCCAAGCATGGCGATGGATGAGTCGGCCTCAGGAGGAAGAATGTCGACGAGGGCATTTGAGTGGCGGTGGAGGGCAACCGAGGATGAAGCCTTGAGCTTCTCGCGGTCGAGAGTCGAGAGGATACGGACAACGTAATTCGAACCTGTGCTTGATTGGACAATACCAGTACTGATCCCTGGTTAGATGAAGGATCTCTAGTAGAAAGACTTCATGAGGGGGGCTTACTTTTGGTCGATAGCCTCCATAAACTGGCCAATGACCAACGGCACACTCTGAATTCTCTTGATCTCTTCCTGAGCTCGGACAAGCTCCCTCTTCAAACTCCTAGATAGAGGTCAGCGTCCGAGTTGCTTTCCACCCCGAAAGAAAAAGTAGCACAACTAACCTCTGTTCATCCTTGATGTACTCCTCCTGTAGCTGAATATACCTGTTCCAGGTGTAAGCCAATCAAGCAATCGCCCGTGACCCAGGATTGACATACTCTAGTTGCCGCTGGAGCTTCTTGAGCGAAGCGTAATCATCCCCACCATCCGCGGGCAAGCCCTCAAAGTTATCAATGCTTGGTATCGTCGAAGGGGTAGCCTTCTTGTGCAGAGCCACCTGGCTGACTGGGTTTTCAACTGCGATGTCGCCCATTGTCGCTTCTCGTCCTCACAGGGATCAAAAGAGACCCTAGGTATCGCGTAACTCGGAATTCAGGGCAGTGGTCTCTCGGCAGGCTGATATACTAGAGTTGCGGAGTAGTCGCCTAGTAATAGGGCGATAGCTTCAGGATTCGTGACGAGTGGTGCTGAGCCGAAACTGCGAGAAGATGATGTCGTTCAACCCCAAACATGCTGGCGTCAACACCAGCGCAGCCTAGAGCTTAGGTAGAACGGACCTTGCAGCTTAGTCATCCTATCCATTCCAGCCCCAGAGCTCAGCTTGTGGTGACTGGGACAGTGCACGTGACTCAATAGTCTGATTGGCTATCTGGGCCCCACAGAGGCAAGGCGGGCAGTGGATGCAGTAGTGCCGTTTCATTGGCCACACATCGCCCACCTGCCAGGTAGTCTTGGTAGTCGCCCAACAAGCCAGGTGGGGAGATCCGGCCCCCGGTCGCGGCACAGGGCGGGTCCCTACCAGTGGTTATGCAAGACTGGGCTCAAGTGACCTCAGCCGATGCTGCGATTGGTTTCCTATACCTTGCATGTGCTGGACACGGGGCTGTTTTATGGGTACCCTTCACTTCACTCCTTATCAATTATCGGTAGCCCATCTCATGATGCCGCTGTGATTCACCGTGAGAGTGCCTGACCACTCGTTGGAGCCGCCCCATACTGTGTGCAAGCAGGTACTCTCCAGAGGATGCCTGATGCGTGCACACCCGCCTCGTGCATGTGTCCGCCGCCCTGAAGCTTGTTCCGTTCCGGGCCGTACTGGTTGTCCCTTGGATTGCCTGTTCGTGTCGAATCTCTGACTCCTACACTGCATTTATATTCCACATGCATAGTCCGCATGCCTCGTCTGGTCCACGGCCTTCAACTCCTCCACAGTCACACTGCCTGTACTACCTACCTCGCCAGCCTCCTCAAGAGTCCTTCCTTCCCTCATTCCCCTTCTGCGTACAACCTCTCTCCGGTCCCCAGGTTTCCTCTTTATCTCCGTTGACCTCCTCAACCGGGGCTCTTACCTTGTTTGTTTCAAGTTCCTTATTCTGAAAAACTCTCTTGTCGTAACCGTTGGACGCACTCATGTCATCCTCCATCGCCATTCCAAATGCCATCGGCAAATCCTCAAAGGCCGTTGCCTCCTCTTCCTCGAGCAGCACCTACTCAAACTCCTCTCCATGCTCAACACCTCCCGCCTCAGCCAAGCGCTCTATACTTCACGTCCGCCGTCCCAGTCTACTAAGTAAGTCCCTCCCTCCGCTTCCTTATCTTACGGCCAAGCGAGTAGCTCAGTCGGTCTGTTGTTCAAGCAGGCTAACCACAGAATGTACAGGTTCCGCGATATCGAGGCAAGAGTCTACGGTGATCAATATTGGTGATCCAGAGGGTCCTCCTCGTCTCGTACGTCACTCTTCTTAGCCATGAAAAGGAATCGCAGACCAGCTAACTGGCAGCATAGATTACATACTTGTCTTCATCCCAAGGGTTTGCATGGAACCCAGGTTTGTTCATCTACTTCCTGACCGGATATCATGGGCATTGGCGCTGACATACTATCCTTAGAGATATTCCTTCCGTCATACGTCGATTGCGATTACGTACCCCTCGAGAATCGTCGGGATCCTGTCCACGAAATACTCCTCAGCGACGAGGAAACAAAAAAACTTCTCCCGCAATAATTGCATGATCATGCTCTGCTCGCCCCTGATCAAGAAGCTTGTTCTGCCTTGGCGGGAGGGGGGGCTGTTCTGAAAGGTCATGAGTGAGGATATCAGGGTATGGCAGGTATCCCACTTGTGACGGTAAGGAAAATACACAGTTTGTAAACTGTGACCAAGTACTATTGTCTTCATTATACGAAATACTCTAGCGCCGAGACCTTTACGCCTTGACAGGTGCGCAAGTCGTGGACATATGCCAGGTTGGATTGCTGTCAAGCAAAAAATGCATGTCGAGTACGGGAGCTTTGGAGTGGCCTACACAGGATGCGATTACGGGCGACAGCTGTCACAGCCAGATGTGACAATTCGCTCGTCATAATCGAAGCCGGCTGGGTCAGATCCCTACGAATCAGCTGTCGTAAGGGAAGCGGCGAGATCGGCTCCTCGCGATTTATTTGTCACGGTAGTTGGCTGTCAGGTCCGACCTGCAACGATTTCTCGTGTTGGCTGCAGACAACAAGGCCAGAGCCATAGCCATTGCATGTCTCGACGACAGGCAGCTTGGTCAAATCTACGGCGATCGCATATCTTGGTGGTAGGCAACTGGGTCGGCCTTTTAGCGATCGGGCGTCAAAATGAGAAACAGCTCGGTCAGGGCTGCAACTATCACCTGCCAAAATATCAGACCGCTAGGCCAATTGGGTGGGAAGGATTTGTGTATGGTGTCGCTCCTGCCTGTCTGCCTGCCTGCCTTCCGAGCCGCGCTCCGAAGTCTGTCTAAACTGTAGGTATCCTCCCGGCTGGCGCAGTCCCTTTTTACCTATTGGATTATCTCTACTACTGGGATATTTCGATTTAGATAGCTAACTCACTCTCGAGCAACAACTTCTGTGTACTATTCTCTGACTAATTAGTGTTCTTTCTATTAGGCAGCAAACAATCTTTCATGAAGGAATAAAAACTATCTCTTGCAGCTGCCTCTACCCTTGTCTAAAAAATGAAACCGCGCCGAGGTAAGTTTTAGACCTCAAACTAGTACTCGACGTAGGCATTTAAGTTAACCGAAGAAAGCAACGATCATGTTATAAGTGTGTAGGTAGCGCAGGCTATGGGGTTTGCTGGAAAAGGGTATGGTGTCTGCGGCGTCCTGTCTGTCTGTATGGAAGTCACCAGGGACACAATGCTGTACAGGTCTAGTTCCGTCGTCGCTTCTTGGAAGATGGGCGTCCCGTTCTTCTCCAATGCGCCTTCCGTCGCAAGGAGAGGCTGATGGTGCAGGCGAGCACTGGTCATATAGGTACATCTAGGTACTAGGTAGCCTAAAATCGATACAATATATGATTTCAACCTACCTATCTTAGGTACCTTACCCGTTTTGCACTGCAATATGAGACTGCAATTCTTTGGGTTGTAGCTTGTAGGGAATCTAGCATGATGTTTAAACCCCACGCCGTTGCCCAACTGCTGTAACATGACATCACAGGCCCCAAGCTATCCCGTTTACGTAACTCACCATGACTCAGCGAGCGCGGAAAGTAAACATGGGCATGCCTCACATGTGAAGAACCATAGTGGTGCACAGATCTCCTGTTCTTCGAACTCATTTCCTCCCGAAGGTCCACAGCCATGGCCTCCGAGTCGATCGTGTCGCAGGTGCAGCGTAAGATCGAATTGCAAAACCCGGACGACCTGACCTACCTCATCACGAACGTGAGAAACGCCGCCGCAGCGCGGCTAAACGAGGCTTTCCCACATCTCGAGGGCGACGATGGAGAGGACGATCTAAGAAACCAGATCGAAGCACTCGTCAATGAGGTATGTAAAGCAGTATGATCCAATCCTGCACATCATTTCGCGATTTCTCGCCGTTTACCTGCCAGTTCAGAAAAACTAACGTGCTTCCTTACCCCGCGGGCAGTACATAAACAAAACATTCAAGCTAGCCGCGCCGAACTTGACCATCAACGGCCTCCCCGTCGCCCCGAATGACTTCCTCGCTGACGGAGGCCCCGTCGCGCCGGATACCGCATATGAGCCTTTTGACGCGCGAAAACGACAGCGTGTAGCCGACCTCATCACGCAGGAAGAGAAGCTTCTCGAGGATGTCGCTTCGCTCAAACGCGCTGTGCCGGCCAAGGCGGCCGCCGAGCATGTGGATCGTCTGCGCGAAGGAGTGCAGCGCGATGATGAATTAGCCGCGGCAAGGATTGCCCAGGGATCTGGGGAAGAGGAGGCGTCTCTACAAGGCGTGGGTCGATTAGAAAGGCAGCAACGCGTCGAGTCGAGCTTCAATGGTGCGGTGGAGACGCTTGAGAGGCTGAAGACGGACATGTCGACGGTGGTAGCAAAGATGGAGAGGGCCAGGGTGGCGGGTGAATATGTTGTCAACGACAAGCGATGAACGAGCCGCGGAATATCACGACAAATCATGAGGAAGGGAAAATAAGATATCACATGGGCATGGGCGGGGTTTGGCGTCACGGCGATTTGGAGGGCAGGGCTTTTATCTTCCTCTTGTTTTTCTGGAGGGACTTCTATGACGAATCTAAATATGGCGTTATCTCGGCTGAGAAACATCAACTCTAACCGCCTCAAAATATGTTCCTACACATCTCATATCTCCATGTCTCATGAACATCAGACGGCCATGGCCCGGATGCAATTACCTCGGAGCTAGAATGCAACTTGCTTAGGAGGCTATTCTCCGGCAGGCGTCTTCCTGCATATTCTAAAACTGAACAAAGCCATCCATTCACTACCAGACTCGACTTCCATCGTACGCGCTTCGCCTAACAAAAAGGGGGACACTCCAAACCACCTACTCTTTTTTGTGTTTTTCCCATCTATAATAATCTTAGAAGAACAAGCACTCTATCACAAGGATGAGGGCCAAGGTACCCAAACAGTTTAAGCGGCAACAGGCTGCTTGGCTTCCTCCCCAGCGGCGACAACCTCAGGAACAGCGGGAGTTCCGGTACCGGTAGCCACCTCAGGCGTCTCATTGTTGGAAGGAGTGTTGTCGATGGTAGTGTCGGCCTTCTTCTCCCACTTGGCGGGCCTGGCCCACTCGGCGTCGTGCCAGGGGCCAGCATCGCTGTTCACACAGCCTCCAGGGCACTCACAGGTACCGCCAAAAGCCTTTGGCAGGTTCTCAGGAGGAACTTGCTTAAGAAGTTCGTCCTTGTAACCGCCACCAAGAATGCTAATCTTCTTAACAGTGACAGGATCGAGCCAGCCCTTGACAACACTCCAAACAGTGGAGAAGCCCCATGGCGCGTTGATCAGGTACAGCTTGCCAAGACGCTCAGGGTAGTAGTTCTGGGAGAGGCCAGAGGCCTGGCTGACATAGGTGTAGACCTGGGGGACCTTGGTCAGACTGACGCCCTTGAGATCCATGATGGTGCAGCATGTCTCGAGTAAGTGGCCGGCTTTGCGAGAGCAGGCGGTCAGGCGAGGATCCGCAAGACGCTCATACTCGACGGCAAGGTTGTTCAGCATGCGCTCGGAAGTGGTGATCTTGTACATGGCGGTCAAGTCAATGCCGCCGAAGGTTTCGATGTAAATGGGGCGACCATCCTATTTCAGCGGTCAGCGGGACACGTATGTCAAACATGCGGCCAGGTGGTCTGATAGAGCAATCTTACCTTGTCAATCTTGTGGTAGAATTGTTCATAGTACTTGTGCAATTCGGCCTTCTCAGGGTAGTCCCAGGTAGGCACGAGCTCGTCAAGCTTGATCTCCTTCCGCCACTTCTCAGTGTCAAGGAACCTGTAGTATCTGGTTAAGGGGCTGTATTCGGAGGCGTTCCGTCGGGAGAGAAGTCCTTACATTTGCTTCGACAAGTTCACATCAAACTTTCGTGCACGTAAAAATCGTAGCTAGGAAATTATCAACAAGTCAGCATCTGTCTTGGTAACGTCATCACTTCAACCCCACATTGAACAGTGTGTCAATACCAAAGTCAGAGTATCAAGACGGTCGGTGCAGCCTTCAGCCTCCAGCATCATTCGCAACTGCTCGACCTGAGCAATCTGTTCCTTCGTCAGAAAGCCGGCATGGCCATTTTGGGCCTCCGGTGCTTCGTACGGGAAGTCGTAGTCGTCGTACTTGGCGTTCAGCTCCATGGTGGGGTGTTGGAGGAGTGTTGACGGTGTGAAAATGTTTTATGATTAAGCAATGCAAGGCGAGGAAGTATCGGGGGGGGGATGGCGTAATGAAGTCGAGAAGTCGGATGCCCGCCTGCGAAATTAAATAGGAAGAAAGTCCAGAATCTAGGGGTCAAGCGTTTTGATGGCTTTCTCCAGCTTCTGTTGAACCTGGTCGATCTGCCAATAATGCAGTGGGACCCAGCTGGGGTATGTTTACAAGCTATCGTCTAAATTGAGCGCTGGCTCAAGCCATCGTGCAGGTGACAGATCACGTGCTGATAGTGGCCGCCGGTTTCTTATCGGGGCGGCAGCTTTCACAATCAAGCTCAAGGCAACGTTGAAGCTGGACCCAAAATTCTTGCCGCAGACCACCAGAGTACCAGCTGGCTCGAATGGCTCCAAGTATATCACGATGAGGTCCTCCCTCCCGCGGATTGCCCTCAATGTCGGCCGTCAGATACACACCTCCATGAGGGGACCCCGCCCTTGCCGTTCTTTCCACCTCACAACCGCCAACAACTTGCCCAGAAAGCGACACTTCTTCACGTCCAATCCATATTTATCCCAATCGGGTGCGGATTCCAAACCGGAAGTAGAGAATTCGAGCAGAGACAGGCCATCTTCCTCCACTCCACAGCCCAAAAAGAAAACCACACGCGCAACCAATGCAAAGAACTCGTTGCGACGAGTTGCGATCATTGCGCAGCATCCTAAGCGAAGCAGCGCAGATGGAGTGCCAGAGCCAATTGGTGCGGCAGCGGATCCTACGAACCAAATCAGTGCGACTTGTGTAGCCGAAGGTTTCAAGATGCCCATGGTTTTAAATATTCTCACGGCTCATGGCTTCTCAATCAACCCGGATGATATGGAGTTCGATACCAACGAGGTTCTCCACGCGCGGGGCGTCAATGGCGGTGACATATTCGTGTTTCCGTCCGGAACGATCGTAACATGGGCGCTGCCTCCCGACGTCGTCACTAAACAACTCCTCCGAGCCGCCGAAGATCCGCATCCAGCCGATGAGCGAGAGGTAGAGGACCTCGAGTTCACCACAGACAATACCAAGGAGACCAGTCTGTTAAAGGGCGACATCGTTGTCCTCGGAACAAGGAGGGAACATACGGACGGAGACAGGTTAGACACAACGCTGGCCAAAGTTGCCTTTTCCTCTGGCCTAGCTCGCAGCAGCAAGCTGGCTGTGCTGGAGACCTCCCTCACCTCGTACTTCGAGAGCACGCGCAATATCCCTGCTCTATTGTCCCAAGGCTCCGGCGTTCCTTATGGCCGTCGGTTTATTCTTCAAAAGACAGGCGAGCTTCTCAGCCTCCGGGCTCGCCTAAACCACTATTCTGAGCTTACCGACTCCCTGCCTGACATATTATGGGACAGCCGCTCCGAGCTTGGCCTGGAGGGTTATTACGAGCAGGTTGGACGTGCCCTGGATGTCAATGTTCGCATCCGAACTCTCAATCAAAAGATGGATTATGCGCAAGAAATTGCAAGCATCCTCAGAGAGATGTCAAGCGAGCAGCATGGAACCCGCCTGGAGGTGATTATCATTCTTCTGATAGCGGTTGAGGTCATATTCGAACTGAGAAAAATATTCCTTGAGTGGGTACAAGAGAGAGAGATCGCTCAGGAACTCGCCAAGCCTGTATAAAAAGATTTAGAAGGGCGTTGTAGACAGGGTACCGGTCTAAAGCCTGGGAACTGCCCCTATTATGTACGATCAGCTTTGGAATTGTGTGACAGAAGGACTTTGATACCCAGAAATTTTGTACATTAGTTTGCTAAGCACGAGATGAACGCAGCTCTGGATTCTATACCATTTCCCTTTGTATACTGTCTGTCCAAGTGATGAAATGTTCCTTCCGAGTCAACTAACTCTTGCGGGTCAGGGTGTCAGCCGACAGAGCCTCCCAAAGGGAAAAAAAGAAGACGCATATTGTGTTACATGATAAATCCTTTAATCAGTCCGCAAAAAGCCTCCATTCGAATGCTCTTTTCCCAGTCTTGGATCATCCTCGCCTACCCTGAATTTTTTCGTCTCCAATATCCTTTCCAATCATCTTGACAGTGACTGCTTCTTTCCGCAACTTGAATGCAAAGGGTGTCATTTGTGGTAACTTTGTGGTTCAAATCTCGCCCTGCGCAGGCTGTGATTTGCCTGGTCGCTCGAGACCATATACCAACCCTGCCTCTTTGTGCCAATGAAAAGCATCAGGGTGAATAAAAAAGCTCCTCTAAGGCTCTTCCTGCTTCCAACCAACGCACCCCATTGCTCCAGAAGAAGAGAAAGAGTCAAGGTAAAATGAGAGAAGCAACAACTCCTGATCCCCACCGCTTCGGAACGCCATGTGAAAAACCATCGCGGTACTCCCAGCAAAATAAGAAAGTATCAAACAAAATTAAGAAGAAGGCTTGCGCTGCTGTTGCTGCAGTCCAGGTATCGGTGGGACAGGAACAGGTGTGACTTTATGAGGTGGTACGTGGACGGATCCAGGGGTACCATTAATGTTATGACGCTGTCCAGTTGGAGTTTGTGGCTTAGACTGATTGTTCATACTGGCCCGAACTGCAGCCATTCTGTTAACATCAAGACTTCCACCGAGGCCAATGCCAGCCAGCCCGGAGACGCCTGGCTGAGCGATCTTGTCAGTGAACATGGCTGAACGCTCCTGGGCAGCTACTCTGGCTTTTGCCTGCTCCAGCATCCGTTGCTGTTGTGCTTCAGGCATAACCGTATGATAGCCAGTCAATGATCCTGCTGAATGTTGCTGCTGGGGGGCAGTGGTCGAGCTGGGCGGGAACCTGTTGGGCTGCCCACCCATGGGTTGAGTGGGTGTGCCGTATCGTTGAACCTGTTGCATATTGGGCGATGGACTAAATGGCTGCCTTTGAGATACTTGTGGCGACATTGTGCGTTGTTGCTGTGGCATCCCCGTTCCATTGACATAGTTACCAAAACTGGGTTGGGAAGGTGTGCTGGCCTGTTGTGGGTAGCCTTGGTAATGTGAGAATCTTGGCTGCGCAGCACTCTGCGGAGGGACGTGACTGAACGCCGGCCGTTGTTGACTTGCAAATTGAGGCATGTTCTGGTGTCCATATGGAGTTTGCGCCTTAGCCAGTTGAGTCGCATATTGCGAGTTGAATCCATTCGTTCGACTATACTGGTTTGGCTGGGGAGGGCGGGGCTGCCCGAGAGATGCCGGTGTGGAACTGCGAGGCTGCTGGTAATTTTGCTGGTAGTTCTGCTGGTAGTTAGGGGTTGCAGCTTGACGATAATACTGCTGAGCCTGGGCCTGCGCTGGCGTTCGTGTTGGCGTTCCGTACTGAAGATTCTGTTGTTGAAAGTGACCTTGATATGATACACTTGGTGTACGCTGAGGCGCTGGTCGTGGTGCAGATTGGGCAGCCTGCTGTTGAGCTCGCAACCGAGCCTGCAGCCCAGCCTCATCCTCCTCCATGACACCCTTGTACTGGTCAGACGAGACCCGAACCTTTGTACTGATGAGCAAGTCATCAAGACGGTCACCATTTAATTTTGCAACAGCATATGGAGGCAACGTCTTGACAATGAGGGCAAGTTGAGCCTTGAGCATTTGGTACGTCTCATGCTCCGCCTCCGACGGTTGGGGAGCAGCTGTTGCCAACATGTCGCCCGGAACAGGGTCACTGGTCTGTCGGTTCTGGGAGTTCGGGAGGGTAAGATTGCGAATGCGCTGGTAGGAAGCCAGTGTCTCGATCAGGTCCGAAACTTCATCGAGGATTTCATCGGCTTCCTTGTCGGCTTCATCCTGCTTTGATCCCATTGCATCCTGCAGAGAGGGGTCAACATTAGTATCATCCCAGTTGTCGATCGCTTCTTGAATCGCCTCTTCATCAATGTCCAAAGCTTCATCATCCTGGTCCGCCTTAATACCATTAGCGCGGTCGAGGTACTCAACCTCGATCATGTTCGAAAAGCTACGTCGACCAGATCGTTGCCACCAAATTCGCCCAGCTATATTGGACGGTACAACAGCCGCAGAATCATCTTTGCAAGGGGCAAAACTAGAGAATGCACCACGGAAAAGAGATTCCATTTCGGACAACTCCAACTCCGAGGTCGATGGCTTCTTCCCTGCAAGACTTTGCGCTCTTTCGTGCTGCCTCGTCTTAGAAGCTGAAGATGGGGTGGCATGGCTATAGTCAAGATAATGACCAGCTGACAGCTTCGTGCTGAAATAGGTTGCTCCTCGCTGTTGCGATTTATCCGTGAGGCTGGGGTGATAAAAATCAAGAGCGTTCCCTCTAGCTTGTGTTTTGGGTTGCTTCGGCGGCTGAAGAGGGAGCAGAGCCCGGGAGGGCGCGAACAAATCCCCTAATGTCTGCACGTTCTCTTGCTGGTCGGATGGGAAGATCCTCGTCATCGAGACACCAACGGGAAGGTTGTATTCGGAGAGGTCCAGGTCATGAGATGAAGGAAGACTGGAAAATAAACGCCTCTCCTGTGGTGCGAATCCAACTAATGAAAGCACCGTCTGGGTCTTGTCAAACTCGTCCTGTTGAGCCTGATCATTGAAAGAATCAGGCTGTGATGTCCGGGGATAGGCTTGCTCGCGAGATAGGAGGCTCAGAGCCCTAGTCTTAAACTTCTTAATCTGCGCAGCTGTCTTAATCTGGTCAAATGAATCGGGCATCTTGGAGGCCGCGGCTTCAGATTCAGCAAGAGCCGACTTTATCGCCAAGCTGACATCTGCCACAAGATCATCCAAATGTTCGTAGGCACTTGCGGCAACCTTGTCAGAAATGGTAACCAACTCGGCTGGCTCTGATGATTTTTGGCGCTTGGCTTCGGGTTCATCGCTGGTAATTGGGTCTTGAAGCGGCCGTTTCAGAATCGGAGGCTCGACATCGAAACTGCAGAAGAGGTTAGCTAGGCTGGCAGCGACGTTTGATGAAATGCCAAAAGAGGGGGGATGCAATGGAGGCAG